TTCAAGTCCACCAATTCCAGCAGCCTGGAGAGGGCCTTGTGACCATTTCATTCACAGTGCTTTCGGGTCAGCCCTGTGACCAGAGGCCCACTGAGGCCATTCCAGAAGGTGGGAAGAGCACTTGTACAGAAAACCTGAGCTCTCACATCCCCATTCCAACCACCAGACCTTCACACCTGGGTTAGGACAGCGAGGGAACAGCTGAACCCAGCTCTGTCAGGGTGCTTTGAGCCCCTTGGACAGCTCAGAGGAGGTTACAAAGCTCAAGCCCATCTTTTCAGCCTGACATGCACACTGTGGTAACAGTGGTGTGGAGAGGCAGAGGAGGGAAAAAACCTCACCTAAAATGCCACAGATCGCAAAGCAGGGCCCTCCCAAATGCTCTGTGCTCACCAGCTCTGCCTTCGGGAAGGAAAGTGTCGTCCCAGGAATTCTGTACTAGGAAAGGACCTCAGAAGGTCCACATGGCTACTCAGAGGGGACACAAGGAGCCTGCAGCAGCTTCCTACACCCACCTCAGGTGGGCTCCCTGCAAAACACAAGGCACGAGGAATGACGGCAGAGCCGAGCTCCGGTCCCCACGTGCTCCCACAACAGCTTCTGTGACACAACCCACAGCTGGGGTCCTGCAAGTCCCCTTTGCAGAATCTCTGAGCAGCTGGAGAAACGCAGCAATGTGGATTTCAATGGCCTGGCTTTGATTTTTGCCCTCAAAGAAGCCTTAAATTCAATTGCTCAGCATGGAAAGAAATCCTGGTTTTAACAGAGTTAAAGTTTCACAGAGCTGATGTGTCAGCCCTAAAGCTGCTGCTCACTGTTGCACAGAATATCATGGAATATTCTGAGCTGGAGTTCTCCCAGCTGCACCTGTAGGCAGCCTGGTTGGGAGAGCCAGGAGTAGCTCATATTCCCTAAATTCACAAAACTTGGGACCTTCCCAACTCCCACTTTCTTCCCCAGATCCACTCTTCCCGCGCTGTACAATCCCCTGCTAGACAAACAGCCAGAGGGGATGTGCCTGGGCAGGTGAAGGCTTCCAGGGAAAAGCCAAATTCCCCTCTTGTGGCTGTGCTGAATTTGTTTTCCTGGCTGCTTCTGAGAGGAGCCACGGCAGCTGCCCAGCAGATGGCAACAGCCCTGCACAAGGCGCTGCATCCGCAGGATTTACGATTTACGGCTGCCCCGTCCTGCAGAGCTCAACCAGCGCCTTCCTCTGACCTTGCTGGCCCAAAAGACGAGTTTCCAGAGCTAAAAATCCCTGTTTTGGGGTATTTATGGTGCTCCCAGGCAGCCTTTACAGAGCACTGGCTCTACCTATCCTCAGCCCACCTTAAGTTATACATCTCCATGCCCATCCCAGCCTAATCCCAGCATTTTCATGCCTCATTTTCCCTTTTCAAGGGTCATCCTTCCCACTCTGCATTGTCCAAGGGGGCTCACCTGCCCCAGGAGCAGAGCAGAGGGGCAGAGCCCTCACCCTATGGCAAGGCACAGTGGGGATCCATGTGGTGCTGGGCTGAGCTTGGAGGTCTTTTCCAGCTTTAATGATTCCATGATCCCAAGGAAGCTAACTCCAAATTCCCCTCCATGTCCCCCAGAGCATTCCAAACGAGTCCTGTGCCTCAGCACTGAGTCATGAGCTCCACAGGAGCTTGCAAGGGAGGCAAGGAGAACTCCCACCTTCCAGGCAGTCAGCAGCCAAGCTGTGCCAGCCCAGCCTGGGGGAAAACAGGGCTCAGGTGTCCAGATGGAAAAGCTCCAAGCTCCCTTCAACGTGACTTTGACAAGGCAGGAAGGCTGTCATTAGTTTTTGGTGGTTTCTCCCCCAGCAACCACCATGTTTCCACCTTGGGCAGGAGGAACACACTGGGAGGGGATCCCAGCCAGGTGATGCTCTCCCTGCTCCCAGCTGGGTGCACTGGGATGAGGTTCCTCTGGAATGTGTGACAGAAGAGCTGCAGGGATTGGGATGAGCCCCCTGCAAGCCCAGGTGGAGGCATGAGAAGCCACATGGCTGCAGGAGCTGCTGTCTCAGTGGAGCCATGGGAGCAGAAATCCTCTTTGGAAGCATCTGAACAGACAGCCCTATCTGCTGGACACTCCTGGAATGGTGCAACAGGAGCCAGGAGATCCATGGCACATCCAGAGCCACACCAGTGGCTGAACTGGGGCAGTATCCAACATCACAAATTCCTGACTTTGTCCCCTTCAGAAGTCTTTTCCTGGAGGAAGCAGGTGCTGGTGGTTCTCTCTGGAGAGCAAATACTGGGTGCAAGTCCCCAGCTGTGGGCTCTCAGGGTTTTCCATGGATGCTGAACTCTCCTGATGACAGTCACCAGAAGAGGACATGAGTCATCAAGCAGAGCAACCTCATTAAGGAGGAGAAGACATTTTCCTGGAGACTGCTTAAAGGATTTGTTTACACTTGTTTGAACAAACACTGAGGAGAAGAGCTCCCTGTCAGACCCCAGCACCTGGAGGAGCTGAGCACTCCAGCCACTGGGATTTTGGGCTGTTTAAGAGGGACCAGTACTCCACTCCAATAACCACAACTGTCCCCAGCCACTTCTGCAAATGCAGCAACTCCTTCAGCTCTGATGTGACAGGGGAGGAGAAATCCCAGCTGTGCCACTTCACCCCACAGCCCTGCCACAGCCAGAGGGGCTCACCCAGTGCCTGAGGTGTCCCAGCTGTGTTTTGGGGTGTGTTTAGCTGTGTGATATCCCAGAGTCCCAACTGCTGCTTGCTCCTCAGTACTCTGAGGAAAGGTGATGTATTCACTTTGAAAGGTGATTTCCCTCCACCCATCTCTTCTGGAGAACCAAAGCAAGATGGAATATAGACACTGGGAATGGCTGTTTATTCTCTGCTGTGCTGATATCCTGCTGCACCTAAGCAAGAAGGGCCTGCTGGAGCCCTCTCCAGCTCTTTTCCCGTGAGGAACATGCCTTTGCTGCTCCCAGCAGGATGCTTTGAACCACGGCTTCTCCCTCCCTGGGCCAGCTCCAGCTTTCCAAATGTGGGATAAAAAGCACGTTGGGAGCTCGTGGCTCAGCCAGAAGAGAACAAAAACCCCCTCACCCCAAGACTCCAGTTTATTTTTACACTCCCAAGGCTGAGTGGTATTTCTCAAACATGTTCTCATTTGCTGAACCTCTACGAAATCCTGGCAGGCTGGAAATTATTTCGAATCATGTATCCAAGACAACAAGGCTAATTCTTCCCCGGCATGTTAAACGTAGAGCTGTCCTTTAGAGGACTGCACTGAAATCAGTAAAAAATCCACTCAGATCTTTTGGAAAAGGAGATTTCAGGACTCATCACCTTTTTTCCTTTGGGTCACCTTGTCTTTTCAAGGAAAGGCTGGCCCAGCAGCAGAAGTATTTCATCCCACTGGGGCACACACCTGCCTTGTTGGTATTGCTGCCCAGAATAGCTCCCAGTGCTGACAGAGCTCATCTATGTTAAATTAGCCCTTGGAAAACATCCCCACTTGGAATCTCAGGCAAGATGGTCCCTTGACACAGGCCTGAGGAGCAAAAAGTGAAAGCCTTTGCCTGTCACAGCCTCCACACTGCTCAGTCCAGCGTTAAAACGCACATTTGCGACCCTGCACCACATAAAAAACATGGAAATCCATCTCCCTGCCTGCCCTCATGTCCTACTTCTCCCCAGCTGTTCCTGAGGCTTGTAACTACCTTTCAAAAAGGAAAAATAAGCCAATATTCAACCTTGTCTGGAGAAGCTCTGCCTGCTCTATCCCTGGAAGTGTCCCAGGCCAGGTTGGATGAGGCTTGGAGTGATGTGGGGCAGTGGAAGGTGTCACTGCTTGTGGCAGGGAGTGGCACAGGATGAGCCTTAAGGTACCTTCAACCCAAATCATTCCATAATTTTAGGACCAGCTGCCCAACACCCAGACTATCATTAACCTTTTATCAAGAAATCACAAGGCCAAAATGATGTACTACAGATGATACCAAGCAAATATACACACAGATATAAATAAATATATTTGCATGCAAATACAAAGCAGGTCGGGAGTCTCATTGCCAGCAACAAGTAGTGTGATAAAAATCACACAGAATCATAAATATCCTGAGTGGGAAGGGGTCCACAAGGATCAGAGCCCAACTCTTGGTCCTGCACAGGACAACCCTGAAAACATTCAGGCTACCAAGACACAGGTGTCACAGCTCTGAAGGGGGAAGTGTGGAAAAGAAAAAGCAGAGGGAAATAATTCAACCCCCACATGGGACAGGGACCAGCCATCCCTTTGCTCCCAAGGCACCTGCAGCACCTCCTGCTCCAGGCTGGAGGGTACAGAGCAGGAATGGGTGAAGCCTTCCAAGCCAAGCCCAAAACCCCTGGATACAGACAAGAGGTCTCCCCTTTCCAGCTGGGAACAGCAGGATCACTGCTGCAATGTGCTCCTGTGGTAAGGAATGCAGGAGGGAACCAAGGCATGGAGGCTTTAACTACAGGAAAACAGCCCAAATCAGAGAAACAGCCTTCATCAAGCCCAAGAATAGAGAGAAAATGTAGATTTTTGTCCTCTGCTCTGCCTTTTACTGGTCAAACAGCAGCAAATGTCACCATCCCACTGCTCTGCTGTGCCTCTCAGGTAGGCTCCTGGGTGGTACATCTCCAAACCAAGCTCAGATAGTCCAGGCTCAGAAACTCCAGCAATAAGACAAAGCCAAGAGCAGCAGGTCCCCTTCCCACGTCACGAGTGTTTCACCACAGAAAGGAGCTCCCTTTCCACCCAGGGCACCGTGCTCTGCTCTTTCAGTTTTAACACCACCAGTTTTAACTTCAACACCACCAAATGCAGGGTGCAGGTTCTCTGGGCCTGTCACCCAGAGACTGAATTTGTCTGTACACGTTAAGCATCCCTGAGCCCTGTCACAGCAAACTCCCCTCCCCACAGGGAGAGCCTCTGTGCCCAGATCCCACTGCACGTGCAGCCAACATTTATGGGAATGAACAGAGCTCATACTTGCCTCAAACGTGACGAAATCATCAAACTCATCGGGACAGGCCGGGGCTTCCTCCTCGGGGGTATATCCCATATCATACAGCTGGCTGTCAGGGTCTGCAGGGGGAAACAAACACAGTTGGAATCACCGAGAGGGAAATCTGCACCCTCAGGCCAAGGCTGGGTTTGGGAGATGTGACAGGAATTTCTGTGTGCACACACCGGCGCCTCCAGCCCTCAGGAAGGGGCTCTGCTCCCAGACATCCCACCCACAGCAGGGCTGGAAGGCGATGCCTGTGGCTTCTCCCTGCCACAAATCCCACCAGGATCGCTGCTCCAGTGGGGCCGGCTCCCGGATTCATCCCTAACCCTCCACGCCCTCCATTCCTTTTCCCTGCTTCTTCCCTATCTCCGTTCCCCGCATCCTCTTACTCTTCTCCCAGAAGGCTTTAATCCCGCTGTGGGCAGGGAATGCATGGGATGTGTGTGTGACAAGTGCCATGGGAACGGCGGGGAAGGCAGGCTGCGGCTCTCGGCGCCTGCTCCTCCCGTGGCCGCAGGAGCATCCGCGCAGGCCGCCCGAAAAACGGCAGCTCTGCGGCGAGAGAGCTTCAAAATCAATTCCTGCTCCCGTCCCAAAGCCCCGTCTGCAGCATCGCTGCCGGCCCTTCAGCGAGGAGGGGAGCCAGAATTCCCCCGTGCAACAGCTAATGGCCGATCCGGCACACGGCCTAGATCGCGGGCTGGAAGCACCGAATCAGGAGCAGTGCTGCAGTCCCAAAATAAACAGCAGCCTCGAGCCCACACGCCTCAGAGCCGCCATCGCTGCGGCACCCGGCCCGCCTGCTGCCGAGAACCGGCCGGGAGGAGGAGGAGGAGGAGGAGGCACATGGCCATGCCTGCAAGGGACACACAAGGATTTGGGGATGGACAGGGGTCACCTTTCGGTGCCCTTCTTATCCCAGCCCCTCAAAGGGACACATAAGGCACTGCTGCAGCGCCCCGATGGGACAGTGCCAGCCTCACCCACAGGCACAGCACAGCTCCTGCTCTGGGCCCCTCTCCGGGTATCAAGAATGGCCATTTTTCATTAAGGAATCACACTGTGGTCATTTCACACATCTGGTAAAAGGTCCAAGGATTAGGGGTTGGTCAAGGCACTGGGGGTGCTCACCTGGAGAGGAGAAGGCTCCAGGGACACCTCAGAGCCCCTTGCAGGGCCTAAATGGGCTCCAGGAGAGCTGCAGAGGGACTTGGGACAAGGCATGGAGGGACAGGACACAGGGAATGGCTTCCACTGCCAGAGGGCAGGGATGGATGGGATATGGGGAAGGAATTGTTCCCTGGCAGGGTGGGCAGGCCCTGGCACAGGGTGCCCAGAGAAGCTGTGGCTGCCCCTGGATCCCTGGAAGTGTCCAAGGCCAGGCTGGATGGGGCTTGGAGCATCCTGGGACAGTGGAAGGTGTCCCTGCCCGTGGAACAAGATTAACTTTATGGTCTCTTCCCACCCAAAGCATTCTGAGAATCTCTGATCAGGCACAGGATAAACCAAGGACTCCAGGCCTGCAGCAACACCTCCCACCTAACAAACCCCAGGGCCTCCCAGTTGACCACTGAATGCAGACACAGGTGGGCACCCAGGAGATACTGGAGCCACCAGAGGATACTGGAGCCACCAGAGGATACTGGAGCCACCAGGAGAGATACTGGAGCCACCAGGAGAGATACTGGAGCCACCAGGGGATACCTGAGGTGTTTCCTGGGCTGGGAGAAGTTGCACACTTTCTCTCCCCTCACCTGGGCCTGGGGCTTTGGGGGGGTCAGGCTGTGAATCCACTGATGACCTTGGAGGTCTTTTCCAACCTTAGTGATTCTATAAGCTGAAGATGGCATTGTCCCTCTCCTCAAATGTCTCTCTGTCCCCACCTGCACAGCTCCACCCATGAGCCTGGGTCAGGAGTTTTCCCATTAACTATCCCTGGTGCTATTTTGGGATTTGAGCCTCCTGGCTCCCCTGGGAGGGGATGGGGGCAGTGACCTGCTCACCTCAGTGGGTGCCACAGAGGAGCCTTTGCCCCACGTTTGGGGGCAAAACCAAAACCAAACAGTGCTCCTTGGAAGGCAATTTGTGTCACACCAGCCAGAGGGGACAGGCAGCCACCTCTCCTGGTAAGCAGCACACACAGGCCATCTCAGCTCCAGACCATCTCCAGTGATCCTGCTGGCACCCCACAGCAGCCCCTGGAACCACATCCCAAAGGCACAGGCTGCTCCCTTCTCCTTATTCCCACATCATTTCTCCTCCTCCCCCTCCAAGTAGACACACAAACACTTCCTACTCTTCTACAGACACAGATAAAGATATTTATTATCCTCATTTCTTCCAGAGGGGCTTAAAAAGGGAGGATTTTCAGGCAAGTGAAGGCTTTCCTTTGGAATCAGGGGTATAAAGTGTGGGCAGAGCACAGGCACAGGCAGCTCCTGCTATCCATCACATGCCTCCTGCCCAAACCAGGGGCTCTGGAGCCTTCCCAGCCCTGCAGGGAATGAACATGATGGGGATGAACGGGATCCTTGTTGCTCCATCTGTGCACAGAGAGCTCAGCCCAAAGAGGGGGGTCTGTGTGTGTGTAGGATGGGTTTATTTGCACAGCAAATTCCAGAATAAAAATACAGGGAAGGCCATCTGAGAGGTCACCTGCACCCGTCACCATGCCCAGGAGCCAGAATTCCACATTTCCACCTCCCCACACGTCACAGAGAGCAAAGACAAACAAGCACCACAAACAAAGGTTGACTTTTCTGCTGGATTTATTCCCTCCCCCTCCAAAAAAAGCCATATGGTGCTTTGTGTATAGGGAAGTTGCCATGGAGAGCCTGCCTGCAAGCCTGCCAGCACAATAGCCTGCATCAAACTTGTGAATTCCTGGCCAAAAGAGCCAAAAAACCCTGGGAGCCAAAAAATCAGAGACCTTCGGTGTGGAGTGGCACTGCCTGTGTGGAGAGAGGTGCAGATGGAGCCATGTGGTGACAGCTGGAGGGGTTTGCTCCCCCCATAGCAGGAACAGGGCCAGGGATGGCTGTGGGCCACCAGCAGCAGCACAGCCCCAATCCACAGCTCAGGCTGAGCTCAGACCCTCACATGGCCTCTGCTCTCCCCCCTGGACATCAAAGTCAAGTCCCAGCCCTGCTCTGCTCCTCTCCCTTACACCACAAAGCAGCCTTTCCTTGCTTACACCCATCCCTGATTTCTCTTTCCTTCCTCACTGAAAGCTGTTGTGGTCACAACACTTGGAGCCACCTCTGCCCTGTCCAAACCCAAGCTTCTGCCCAGGGCTGGGGGTGGCATCAGGGGCTGCCTTTTGTCCTCTGAGTGTCCATGGCTGGCTTCTCCTGCACTTCCAGCTCTATCCATCACTCCCACTCAGTCCAGTGGGAGTCCACTCGCCAGTCCAGTCTCATCCATAAACATGCAAAAACCATAAAGATAAAAATCAGGCTCTGAGAGACCTTCCAGGCAGCTTTACTGCTAAAACCATCACAGAATCATGGAATCATCCAGGTTGGAAAAGCTCTGTAAGGTCATCGAGTCCAGCTGTTCCCCCAGCACTGCCAAGGCCACCACCAAACAATGTCCCCAAGTGCCACATCCACAGGACTTTTAAATCCCTCCAGGGATGGTGACCCCACCACTGCCCTGGACAGCTGTGCCAGTGTCTGACCACCCTTTCCATGAAGGAATATTCCCAATACCCAACCTAAACCTCTCCTGGCACAGCTTGAGGCTGTTTCCTCTTGTCCTGACACTGGAAGCCACCATTTAAAAGCCATGTGGATGTGGCACCTGGGGACATGGGGCAGTGTTGGCCTTGGCAGTGCTGGGGGAATGGTTGGACTCAATGATCTCAGAGGGCTTTCCCAACCTAAATAATTCCATGGGCTCTCCACGGGGGTGGATGAGACCTCTTCCCATGTCTTGTGGAGCTTCAGAGCTCTCAGGTGTGCCTGAGTCACCTGGGCTCTCCCAGGAACCCTCAGGAACAGCAGTTCTGGGATAAAGCTCCTGAAATAGATTCTAAAAACTGCTTCCAGAAGGCAGGATCACAGTGAAAAGGCACCTTGAGTGAAGGGCTGTGGGTACAGCAGTGACACATGGGTCACACAGAGCCAGTTTCATCGGCTTCATATAGGAGTGACCTAGAAAAAAAGCCTTTCAGGAGCATTTGAGTCACCTGCCAACACACTGAACACACTGCTGCAAGCCACAGAGCCTCCAACTCCGAGTGATTCCAACAGGATGGATTGTGTGAGCTCACAAACCTTCATTATTCAGTGTGGGAATAAGGCTTGGAACCTCCCTGAATGGCACAGAATAAAACAGACCCCAAAATGAGCAGGATGAAATTCTGGTTGGCTTAAGGAAGAAAGTGATATAAACCCAGCTCCCTTACTGGGAATGCTGCTGGAAAACAAGAGACACAACCAAATATTTAAAAGTTGCAGGAATTTAGGAGGATCCTGCATGGGGGGAAGCCACTATCCAGTATTTCCAGAGGCAGTTCAGGGTCTCTTGCTCAAGCACCCATGTGGTGTGATCCCTGTGGGATAAAGCCAGCACCAATCCCACCTTTTCCTTCCCCAAAGTGGCCCAGGAGTGCATTTATAATCTGATGCTCCCGTGAAAGAGCAGCTTTCTGCTCTCTGCTTTCCCTGTAACTCAGCTTCCTCCAGAGATGGGCCAATGGAGCAGGAGCACTTACTGAAAACTATCATTTCCCAGCCCAAAATGCCACAGGGGACGGAGCAAGCGGCAGCCCAGGCTCTCAGAGAGGCAGTGGCAGAATTAAGGTTGCTTACACAACCCTGGCTAATGCTCCTCAGCAGTCCCTCATTTCCTGAGCATCACTGCTCATCACACATTCCTTTTGATCCCCTTCCTACAGCACAGGCCCTGCAGCCTCCTTCAGATGCACCATGGAAAGCCATCAGGAAAGGAATTCACTTCATCCAAGCCCTTTGGAAGCACAAATCCAGCTGCCTTCCCTTCATCTGAGGCCTGGTGAGCATCGCTGCCTCTGCCCTGGAGACAGACCAGAAGGCCACCACTGACACCTGGAATTTGTGCTGAGTTTAAAACATGGGATCTCATTTTTAATTCCCAGTGATCTGAGTGGTCTTTTCAGTGTGTGCCAGTCACCAAGACCAGCTCAGACTCCTGCAGGCTTGTGCCAGCCAGGAACAAAGGCTCACTGCTGGAGCTGTGGAAAATGAGGTGCTGGCTGTGGCCACCAGAAAGTGGCTTAGAGTCACCTTCTGATGGAGAGACTGAGCCTCCAAAATAGCACTTGCTGCTGATGAGGAGACCTCCTGATGTCCCCCAGCTCCTTCACTCCTTCTACTTCCAAGTCTCTACACTTCTGGAAACT